ATCTGTGTGGATGTATGCGTTTCGGAGGAAGGAAAGTCCTAGCACGCCCCTTGGTTGAGGGGGTACTTGGAGGCCTTGTTGCTGATCTGCAGGTGGCGCTGCATCCCATGGTTCTTGGAAGGAGAGATAGCAAGTTCCATTTCGCAGGATTTTCAAGGAAGAGGAAGGAATTTTGATGCGCGGGGGTTGCTCTCCCGGAATCAGCGCGGGGAAAACAAGCTCCACGTTCTGCGTCGGTGCGTCGGCGGTGCAGTCGTCAAAGGTATACGCCGTGCGCCCGCCTCCAATGTTGCCCCCCCTCGCGCCGACTGCGGCAGCAAATATCGCCGCCTGTGAGCGCGTTGTAAAGTTGCTAAAAACACTCTCGGGCTTAATCACAAACCAAGATTCATCATTTGACGGTGCAACAGTGCGCTGAGCGGAGACTGCGACATGATCAAGTTCCAGGAGATGGGGATCACTTGGGAGGGAGGTAGGGGCCAGCACTCTGGGCAGCTGGGATCCATTGTTGTAGGTTATGTTCGCAACGGCAGTTAGCTTCCCTGTGAACTTTGATGGCTGATAACCGCCCAGGAACAGCATCCCGGAGTACTGTGGGGCGTCTCCGTCGAGGTGTGTTGCACGGTTCGCTTCCTGATCAAAGGCAGCGAGTCCTCCGTCAAAGTATAACCCCCAAGTCCGGAACGGGGCGCCACCCATAGCCACCAGGCTCGTAAACCAGCTGCCACCATCGACAGCACAGTCGGGTCCGTGGACGCCGAGATATCCGTTGATACCATATGCAAGCATTTCAGCACGTTGTTGCGGAGAGAGGTTTATGGTTTCTGTGTGGTCCCATCGATTCCATCCAGTTTGGAAGCCGGCGAGATTTCCGAGAGTCATATTGTCTGTTGGCCCTGCTCCACTAAATACCGCCGCTAAAGTGTTAGCATCGTTCCCGTCACGTAGCCATCTCGGGGATATTTGTTCTTGTCACATACAGCCATCCGTTGAGATCCCCTGTAGGCACCCCCCATAGAAAGCTATCACTTGACCCATTCCGGAACAGCAAGCTCCTAAATCTATCTGTTGCGCTCTCACCCAACAAATTTCCTGCCTCATGCCGGATCTCAATGTCTGGCCGTGATAGGTCCAGTGCTAACGTTAGCGGCTGCGCGGGCGTGCCTAGGGAGACGTCCGCAAGGAACCGTCCCGGAGATTGCGTTGAAAATGTCGTATTGTACGCAAACTCGAGGGGTATGATTATGGGTGGAGTTGTTATATTGCGGATTGCGGAGCTGCAGATGAGGAGATTTTAATATTAACAAAACGGCGATTAATTTCTCGGAGGGAGTCAGACTCACATTGTCTTGGAGAAAGCAGATAGCGCCACGAGGGCAGAAAGAACGACTGAGGGCGCCATATTGGAAAGCACGGCACAAGACAATGGGTGTATACCGCCGGAAATGAAATATCTTGCGCAGCCCCTCCACGCACAGAAAGGATTGCGGAGGTTTATAACGAAAGCTGCAAGCTATCTTTCTATCGAGCGCTGTCTAGCAGACACCTTGGGTTCCGCCCACTCACTCTCCAGGTAATGCGATCAGATATGATGTGATTTTGCGAAGTCCGACTCCGTCCCACTTTGTGACCCTCCAAACAAACTCAAGCGAAGCTTCGCACTTGATACCCAAAGGCTCCACTCAATGTTTGCAAATCGTGCTCGAAATTCCCTTTTGATTTCCTTCCAAACACCAACGACTTCCTTCGTTCTGGGCTCTTGTGTTTTTTTTTTCTCTCTTGTGCTTCAACTTCAAGTATCGGGACAGGATATTCCAAGCAAAACTCCACACCAAAATCTCCAAGCTGGAACTCGCGGTGATCCGAAACGAAGGAAAAGAATTGAAAGAAAGAGGCACGGCCTATAGGTAAAAAAATAAATAAATAAATTATTGATAACAACAAGGACAGCACAGCAGGTCACGAATGTAATCGAAAAGAAAGTGGGAAACGAAAACAAACAGAAGAGAACAGCGATGATGCCTCTAGCACCAAGGGCTTAGCTGCTGGTAGGCCGACTTTGCATGCGTGCGAAAAAAAGGTTTGGAAAGGGAATGCGGGTGGCATGGAGGATTTATTCGGGGCCCCATCTGGTGCGGGTAGCGACTCTTGTGTTCACAGATGCCTCGTTCTCGCTAGGGAAGCGGTATACTTGATCTTGCGCTAAGTAAAGTGCCTTCTTGTCTCGTACCTGCCATGACTCTCAAGGATGATACTTGGTATCAAAATCCGGGGGTTATGGGTCCTGCTTCAACGCTATGGGTTAGCATAGTACTGAAATGTCGGATACGCTTGACTTGGCGATAATGATGCAAGCACATCCACTGTTCGCGCTTGTAGCTCACCTGCAGTAGGGTCAAAGTGGGGCGGAGGAGTAGGAGGTGAAACCTCCGTGAAGCGTTAGCAGCAACAGCTGACAACTTATAGCACGCCGTTTCCCATGATCGTGGGCATCGTCCCGCTAGTGGGGGCTTGCGCATATAAAATCTCAAATATGCATAGTGAGTATCCTCCATGCGACAACTACATGCAACCTAGACCTGAGATATCGATATATTGAGATCGCTGAGAAAAAAAATATCTTACCAGTTCGGAACACCGTCCCTCATGTAAACCCTCCAGGTCGGCAAATGGTATATTGCGCCGGCGAGGAGAGCGGCATTCCAGCATTCCATCAGTCTTCTTTCCGGCATCATTCCCCTGTCATCCCTCGAGTCGCTCGGAACTTCTGGTAATTTTCAGCATCATTGCGGCGCGTCTGACAGGCTGAGCCTCCACGTGAAGCTTTTCGACCCTCAGTTTAGCGCGTCCCATTATCCTTGTCATCCCATTGTAAGCTGGTAACACAAAAGCCCTATCCTGGCACCTTCTCGAAACAAATCCAGGCGCGAATCACTAGCGTGCGCGTTAGCGCTGGGGGCTGGGACGCTGGGGGGTTTCAAGTGCGTTTAAAGAAGATTTGTCGGAATTTTTTTTTTCCTTCCCAATTCTTGTTTCAACTTCCCAAATGGGTCGGGAAAATGAGGGTTGCCTAGGACATATGACATGGAAGTTGGGGCAGTCATGGAAAAAAGGTCATTATCACGCTACTATCGTGCCTTGTCTTCATGATGCTCCATTGCGTGGTTATGATGGTTGAAGCTGGGTAACATATCCTGCAACTACTCATTTGCCTTAATTGCAACCTTATCGGTGAAGGTTATACTGAAAATAAGTCTGCCTCATCAGACATTTATCCATAAACTTTAATGATGTTGCAACGGTAGAATGTACTGTACACTTATTATCTACCACTGGAGAAAGATCAAAGTCAATATCTGATGAGAGACGACGAATTACAGGAGAAAATAAAATAAGAGCCAGATGGGGATGGAGAGAGAGCGAGGATTGAAAGTGCAAGCCAAGGATAGCTAGAATTCCGCTCGTCTGAACTCTCGAAAATGTTCCTTTTAGACGTCAATGGTTAGATATGCTTAAATCGTTTCCACAAGGAAACCTATCCAGCAAGCAAGTGGCTTGGAAATTAATTCAGGTGCATGCTCTCACACTGGGACCACCTGGTTTGTAGAAGTTCTAACTTTGTAACCTTGCTGCTTCGTCCATGAGATTGATCATGACCCCTTTTAGCTGGCCTGTAACGGAACTTTTATCCGATCAAAAATTGAAATTAATGCACTTGGAGCTCATTTAAGCGGAAATACATGTCTATAGTAACCCGTTTGAGATTTTACATATCCTGCTAGGGACAGTGGATATACTTGCGGTGTAGTTGAGAACTCGGATAGTTATTGTTAGGTTGAAGTACTACGTTACATGAATGAGTTGACTTTTATCTTGACACTTCTGAATAAACTAACGAAGTTTTTAAGCTTGTGCTCTCTCAACGTTCTCGTTCGCCGCCAGACAATCTACGTGATTCCCGCTTCAAAAATCCCTAATAGCCTCCAATTAAGCTTTTTCTTCCATCCCATACACCCGCTTTTACAAACTCGCCTCAACTCGAGCCCCAGGAAGCCCCAGCTTCCATCCCTATGGAATATGCCTTCAAACTGTCTCTCAGTTTCTTGTAAAGAATTTCAATAGCAGCTCTTTCTTAGCAATTCGGTATTCATGCCGCCGCCAGGGTGGCATCTACAAGGGTCCGTGACACAGGGTCCGTTTCGGGTTATACGATACATGACGATGCATAACCTCTGAGCGCGCTACCATGGTTGTCACCGGGAGCGCAGGGCGGACGGAGGGGGGGACGTAGGGGGGGACGGAGGTGGGGGAGGAAAAGAAGTTTGATTATATGTGCGAGTTATTTGGAATTAGATGTTATGATATGAGGATTCTGTGTAGGGCAGATCCAGAGTGTGGGTAGCTATTTTATGTATACTCGGAGGTGAGGCATGAAGGGGTTCGGAGTTTAGGTGTGCGCTGGGGCATGCGGCGCTACGGTCTTGGCGAAGGGTTTACTGCAACTATGAAAAAAAACTTTCCTAATGAAGTCATCTCAGCTACCTAGCCTGCATCGTTCGGTGCTCTATATACTTGCACTTACATCTTTGCATGATGATAAAATTTTTCCTTAGACACTTACATAAAAGTACTGTACATCGTGCTTTTAATTATTAAATTGCGATTTCTCATTGGCAAGTGGAGAAACGCATATAAAATCAGGATGCTCGCTACCTCACCCTCCCGGTTCCAAAATGTCCAGGTGGGGTGAAATTCTGCATATTGTCAAGCTTGCGTTCGTGTGGCTGATGCCGAACCAGATTCAAATGCCACAAATCTCATTGTGCACTGCTTTTTGGTACTGCCGTATGCCTATTTAATCGGTTTTACAATTTTATCCGTGATCATAAAGAATGGAATGCCCTACATCTGGAGATTGCGCTGGTTTGCAAAATCCTAGGAAAGTGGTACGAATGAGCAGTTATTCATATCTGTTTTATTAAAATAACATTAATGCAAATGCCCGGTTGGCTCAGTCGGTAGAGCGTGTGACTCTTATTAACATCCCAGTTCACCCCTTAGATTAAGGTGTTGAAGTTGGGATGTTACGAGATCTCAAGGTCGCGAGTTCGAGCCTCGCATTGGGCTTTTTCCTGTTTGTTTTTTGATCTAGCTGGATACTAACAAACTTATTACCCGATGGATATGATAGTCTTATCTGTTTAAAAAGTACATTACTAACCTCACAAAAAATATAAAAACTTGACGTAGGCAAGTGCTGAAGCCACTATAGAATTCCTCTTTCGTGTCACCACAACGTCACTCGGCGTATTCTGTAAGCCGGAGGTTGGCGTACCGGACCCAGGGTAGGGAAAGGATTATGTTAATCCAGCGACTAGTCATGGTTGTTGAAAGTGTTATTTTGCAGTGAAAAGTAACTCCGTTTAGTGACTTGTGGATGATACAGTATTTGTCGGAGGAAAACAACAGTACCTAAACTGTAATTGATCTCCGAGGGACAGCTAGACCAGATTGTCACAAGTACTCATTAGGCGTTCTAGCGTTTCAAATCACACTGTAGATAATCCCGTAGGTCTAACGCTTGATCTCCTACTCCCTGGTACGAGAGTGATATCTATTATGATAACCGAAAAATCTTCGAATCATCGAGTGCCAGCTTTTAAATGAAGAGAAAATAGAATACTGGCATATATTGGGTGGCTTTCTAGCGGAAAACCGGAGGAACATTTCTCACTCGTAATGATTACACACACAAGAGGTAAAAATCAAAATCCGTTTGGAAATATATTAAAAAAAAACAAAAAACAAAAGCGCCTTTAAATAAAAACCTAAAAGTTCCTGATTCTTGATTTAATTAAATGATTAGAAAGAAGTAGGGTAGTTCGCAAATTACGAAAGACGCGTGAACCAAAACTTAAGCCCGATGCGAGGCTCGAACTCGCGACCTTGAGATCACCCTCTATCCCTCCGGACATTTCTGTTGAGCTCAATGACAGAAATGTGTGAGGGATATAAGAGTCACACGCTCTACCGACTGAGCCAACCGGGCTTTTGCACATCTAATTCTCACCAATCTTTTTTATCCTCGAAGGTGTGTCTGCGCAGCAAGCGTGCGGATGCGGCACGGGAAGGACTGCAGAAATTTAGGGCAGTACCGAATGCATTTCTCCTAAGGTGCTTGACTTCTCTGAACCTTGTACTCGGATGTCAAGGTTCGTCTTCAGATATAACACGCTGCATAACTGGGCGTCTTGCAGATGCCAGGTAGCAACGCAGCATAGCATGGATAACCGAAACAACAATATCCAGAACTCTTATATGTGATTTACATGCAAAAACTTCAGGCTAGCTGGCATTCTTTTACCTAATGACAGCAACCTCTCAGTTATTTTTCCCCACTCATCTTGTCGCTTTCCTTTCGGCGCCTCCATATCCTTAGTCTGACCATATGTAATTTCCGGGTCCACCTCTAACTCAGATCATACTATCTCAATAAGATGAAGATCAAGATATTGCAGTACCCTATTCCAAAGATTCCGCCTCATTCTTCATTCTGCAGGTTAATGAAAACCATTTATGCCCTGATGATCTACCCTCTGCTACAATAGTCTAGCCGTAGAACTCACCAGCCGTATGCTACGTATGCTAGAAGGGTACCAATAAAGGATCTAAAAATCATAGTAGTACATTTTGCAGAGTCTATTGTTTGCATCTGAAGGTACAAAAAATAATTCTAACTTAAGTTCACCGCAAATGCAACCCCCTGACTCTTCATCCAATTCCCATACTTCGTGAATGCAATCCGGATAAAATTTTACGTCTGCATTTCTGATAACTAAGGACCAATATCCAAATCCTTCAGTTCTGTCGGTTGGTTCATCTGTCCAACCTACCCAAAGCCAAACTTCCTCCATCCAGTCAAGACATTTTTCACGCCAAGCAAATATCTTCGTCTTCCCTTTCTTTTGTTCTCGAACTCCCCTTTTCTGTCGTGGTTGACTTTTATGATAACTCAAACTACTCAATACTTGCTGAACAGTGTATGCAGAGAATTTGTATCCCATCGCAACTCTAATTTCCAACCAAGGAAGCCGTCGAGTATATTGATTCTTTCTTTTTCGGTCTCAATACAAAAACGTGATCCACCCAACTGTTTGCGAGTACTAGGTCATCCTAGATATTTAGCTTGCCAATAAGATTGCTTGACATGTTCTGAAATCTATCCTCACTTCAGCCGCGATTTCAGTCCATTCAGATTTACATCGTCATGTTTCTAATAATTCGAAGACGTTCGCCTTGTGTAATCTCTTTATTCTAGATCTTGCTCGGACCGCCAAAATAATCCTTTCATTTAGCTTAATTTTCTGCTATACCTCATGCACGTACTGGTAGTATATTGGCACCAAGTGCTACGCGACACAGAAAAAGGCCTAAATTACAGTAATTTGTGATATGGAGTTACCAGAAGGAAGCTTGACAATGCAGTGCATAGCGCTCCTGAAAATTAACCCTGGGTGTCGAGCACGCAGCGTAAGGAAATACTTCACCCATAGAACTGTTGGCAATCTATAGAAATTGTGGACAACTCACCTCGAATACCAGGAGATGGGCCAAAGGGAGTAAACAAGGAAGGGCGAAGTATAAGCAAAATCCAGCTTTGATGTAGCTACTAGTGTTGCAAACACACATTGCGCCACCGCGGTGCATGCATTTACATTGCGATTGTTTACAAACCTGAACCGAGAGCGCATTTGCCTTTGGGACACCTTCTGTTGGTACATTCTCTTTAGGTTTTGTGTGGAGTTCTTCCAAGTCAATGTGGGATTAGAAAAGTGATGCGGAATTTTTTTGCAGTAGTAACTGACTGCTTGTGGCGCAAATTGCATATCTAGCCTGCGAGGAGGGCGGATACCTCAGAACCCCCCATTGTTGAACCTTCTGTACCCTATGTTTACGTCCATTGAACCTCTACATGTTAAGGGGTTTGTAACTTAATCAATTTGATTGAAATCCAAAAGTCCGGGACGTCATGGAAGCTTCTGAAGCGCGGGCATCACACCACTCGAATTGCTGGGGATTCCGGCTAAGAAAATAGCGTTGAGGAGGTTAGATCCCTGAGAGGTGTCTCGCCAAGGCGACCAAGCATCTAACCTCCCACAAACTAATCCACCGATCCATAGCCAACTACAGTACATACACAGACCAGGTGCGCGCAGATCCGGACCTGTAACAAAAAAAATATGTAGAGTACGGAATGAATCAAAGAATAGACAAAGAATGGATAGTTTCTTCTTTTTTTCCCTTGCCTCTTTTCACGTGACCCTGCTTATCGCTATTCGCTATGGTAGGCTCCGAGGACGGCGAACCTAGTGACCTAGAGAGAGGCCTAAGAGGGACTCCCTCGTTTTCGAGTTGTTGGTGTTAGTGGCGGGGAGCTTAATTGAGCTGGTTCTATTTGTTGTAGTGGAGGACGAAGGGAACCTTGTATATGACGAGCGTGCAAGGAATTAGCAGTTAAGGAAGCAAAATCACCAAAAAAATATTCAGTTTTATTCGGTGTGGTGGAAATTGTAGGATTTTGTAGTGAATTATTTGCATACCACAAGTATACGACCGGAGACTTATATTCTTTCAATTTTCATTGCCCATATGTATGTACTCTAGATGATCTTGAGAGATAGCCAATGGGCTAATGAGCGAAGGTGCCAAAATGCACTCACTCAATCGAAACTGAAACTATGCGCCACATCGAAATCGGGGAGTTTATTTCTGCTCACTATCCTGATGCCAATTATCACATTTATGTGCGCTACTACTCGTACGAGTACTTCCGAATTACTCTACTTGGTAGAGTAATTTTTCCGATTTCGCTCGATTTCGTTTGAGTGCAAACGCCGAGTTACTCCAGTTATACTCATACACAATGAAAATTAATCAACATTCTCCAGCATATTGGCTCTACTTATATAATAATTCTGCCGGCTACTGTGTTTCACCACAACCCGACGCACACCACGTCCCGACGCACGTTTTACACCAAAACTGACCGCGCGCGACAACATATATCTCAACCACCAGAATAGAATTTTGTATGCGCTCTTCAGGGGAAATAAATAAAGGGTTATTCTTCATATTCCACACCTTGGCTTCTTCAGATATGTTGCTTTGAAGGGATTTATGATTCATGAAATTCTGACCATAAATTGGCATAGGCTTGGCATATATTTTTCGCTGTGATGTCACTAGTATTGAATTCCACTTATCACACCTGAAGTAAATTTGATAAAAGCAGTAGGACACTTGAATATCAATATTTTATCTTATTCAAAGATGTAAGAAGCACATCAAGAAACCTTCTCAAGAAGTGGTGGAGTTATTCACAAAATTCATTTTCTCATAGAAACTCTATGCAATAATTGTATAGGAAAACTACCTGAAATGGCAATTTGATGTATAAATTAGGCATTAAACAACATTAAGCCAATCGAAGCACTAATTGACAAGAGACCTATTGGGGAGACTCTCTAGCCACAATTCTATAGCCATTACGGTGAGCGTTGAAGGGAAGTTGTGCATTCTACCCTCCAGTTCACTTTGTATGGGAATTCCATATAAATGCATGCCAAGACATCAATGAAAAACTCATAGTGCCATTATTCAACCACAATGTCTTTTCAGTGCAAATAGAGGGATAAAAGGTGAAGAATAACCCTTTATTTATTTCCCCTGAAGAGCGCATACAAAATTCTATTCTGGTGGTTGAGATATATGTTGTCGCGCGCGGTCAGTTTTGGTGTAAAACGTGCGTCGGGTTGTGGTGAAACACAGTATTCCTGACAGTTGATGCAAGAGAAACTGGTTGCTTCGGGCCTTAACGCTACCTAGCCAAAGAGGGTTAATGAGCGGCAGCCAGGAATGAATCAACAGGGAGGGTTAATATTAATGACATGAAAAGGTGCCAATGATTTACTTTGGCTGGAGACACTCAATCGGTTAGGGGCTTTAGTGCCATCATTTAGCGCTGTCATGAACTGAGAGGATCTTTTTTGATCATGCTTCGTTAGATTAGTTGTTACATTCCTATCTAATCTACTTCTTGCATGCCTTGCTTATTGAATTGGCTGCTGAATCTGCGCCTGCTGAATCCGCTACTGAACCGCTTGTCATATTGCTTGTAGAGTTAGAATTAGAGAGTATGAAATAGGAAAGGACGGTTACTGCCACATGCACGATTTACAGGGAGACGTTTAGATCAGGCCTCTCAAGGATAATCGGGAGGCAAGGATGGTCTTGAATCTGTAGATGCGGTTGATAAATGCTCTATCAACCCTAACTTGCAGATATGCTATTGCACTATGTCCTCTTTCCACATTGTCAGGCAGGTTGGCATTGGGGCTTACAGTTGCAAAACGAATACGGGAACTGCCAGCACATATGTCTCAAGCCTACTAGATATATTTGCGCAACCAGGGAATTACAGATCGCACTTTCGAGTAGGTGCCGGACAACCCTCTGAACTTAGGCCCTCAATTCTACACTTGGTATGTCGCTAAGTTAACCAAGAGGTTAACTGCTACACGAAGCGCATTCACGGTCAGAAGGCGGGTCATTAATTGGAATATACTATCAAGCAATTTATTATGAGAGCTAACGGCATGTAGTTCTATAAGTGATTTGGCAAGCGATTCGGCAAGCGGCTCGGTAGCGGATTCAGCAGGCGCTTTGGTGGGGGATTCAGCAGATTCAGCAGATTCAGCAGCCAATTCAATGAGCGATTCAGTAGGCCATTCGGCGGACGATTCAGCAAGTTGTACAGTAGTTGTTTGGTGGGCAATTAGAAAGTTGAGAGGTACAGTTATTGTAAATATGACTGTAGTAACAGTCACTCCCCCAGGGCGTGTCACTAGGTGCGCCAGCCCCCAAGAAGCATATGTACAAGCGACTGAAAAAAGCATGTTCAAAGCTCACCCCGACAGATTGAGTTAAACCCTTTCCATGCAAAAAATTGTCGGTAATCTCTAGAAGATTCCTCCCTGATTCCGTTTACTT